TTGTCTGGGTATCAATTCAAATTTCTAGCATTAAATTGATTCAGATTCTCAAGATTTAGAATCGATTCATTTCAATGCAATCTGATCTCAGGTTGTATTCTGGTGCTTAAATCATGTTTTGCAGCTGTTACATGAATCACGTGATACCATAGTTATGTATTCATTACGTATAATATTAACAGCAGCAGCAAATAAAAAAAAAATTATGGCATTTAATACTGGCTGTAAGGACAGTGGAAACCACATTTAAAAAAATTAAATAAATTGATATTTGATTATATGAATCAATCTTTAGGAAACAAAATTTGAAAACAGATTTTTTAACACAGCCTTAATTCAAAATGAGGATCTTTCAAACCAAATCTATTCCTAAACTGCATAAATCCAACTGACACATTTGTAAATAATGTAATTTATCAATTCAATTAAATCTTCATATTTTTTTTATTCAAGTATGTTTAGACTTTTTACTTATCAACCATCTACATTTATTTTAAAATACAAAACAATAGAATTACTTATTAACATATTTATAGCATATTAGAATCAAATTGGTTAATGCTAATTATTGTGTTTTGTCTCCTCCTTTGATTAAAAAAACTAAAAACACCCTAAAAGATGTTTTTAGTGTTCAGGATTTACATACGAAAGCTGAAAGAAAAAATTGTAAGGAAGGAAGGATAGACACAAAGAAGGGAGGGCTGGAAGTGGGACATGTGGGAGAAGGGAAGAATATTGTGTGGAAAGGAGAAATGACAAAAAATGAAGAAAAGAAAGGTCACAATTAAGGTAGAATAGAAAGAAGGTGACAGCACAGAAAAAGGACACAGGGAAGGAAGGAAAAAGTGAGAGAAGAAATAAAGACTAAGAAAAAAGAAGGCAAGGGGGAAAAAGACTAGACAAGGAAAAAGGGAATGCAACAAGAAGAACAAATTAAAAAGAAAAGGAAGAAAGAAAGGGAAGGTGGACACAAGAAAGCAGGACAGCAGAAAAGAAAGATAACTAAGATATAAGAAAGGAAGGACACAATGAGAATGAAATAAAAATGGGTTCCAAGAAGGTCGGAGGGAAAAAGGAAGGAAGAAAAAACACGAAAGAAGTGAGGAAAAGAAAAAAATGGAAAGAGGACACGGGAAAAGAAAGAAGGAAAGAACAGGAAAAAGAGGAAGGATAAACAGGACAACAACCATACATTGGAAATACAAATATTTAACACAGTCTCGTTTCCTTTTCTTTACATTAAAGACCTGTGCAGGAAACCAAATTCTGTACTTTTTCAGCCTTCATATGAACCCTGTAATTCAAGAGATTATTTTTCTCCGAGGTTAAGTTACACACATCTACACCTGGAAGTGCTGGCGTAGCCACGGACACTGATAAAGATTTTCTCCAGAGTAACTCAAATGTACCACAGTGGTTTTAAAGACATGCTTCAATCCTTAAACCTGCAACCTTCTCTGACCTTTAGGCCCACAATGAGCAGCAGACAGACAGCAGCTCACCTCTTCAAACACAGCTGCCTTGTTGACTTTTTCCCGTGCAATGTCGCACACTTTGAGTAAACCCAGGGCAAAGGCTTTGAGTGCGGGCTCTTCAATCAGGTCCGGATTATGAACATAGAGGCAGGTGAACACAGTCTGTGCCAAGGAGTGACCCTCCAGCCATGTTATCTAGGTGAACAAATGTAAAAACACAAACATTGGAAGGAAGAGTTTGCTGTATTTGTAGTCATCTAAAACATATAAAAAACGATAGGTCGGAAAAAGGTCTGCATAAACTCACATTATGAAACAAGTCATATTCATTTAGTTATTTGAATGCTTTTGCATAATTATTTACTGGTAATAAAAACAAAGAAATTCAAAGACTTTAATAAAGAATTGATTTATTATCTCTAATACACACTGAGGAAAAATAAACATTAAAGGATTAATTTCCTCAAACAGCAGCTCTGGGAATACAGTAAGGTGATGCCTCAGCATCCTGTTTTAGTGCTTACTAAATAATGCAGCAGTCCAAGGGTTAAAGGCCTACAAACATACAACTTTTTACTGTGACCAGAAAACTTTTTAATATTTTTATTTTTTTAATTGGTTGTTTCTGTACATCCTAATATCCATTCATCTGAGATGACCATTTGTGACAGCTTGGTAAAACATCTGCTCCTTCCAGACAGGGTATAACTTCCAACTGAGTATACTTTAGAAAAAGGAAGCCTATATAAAGCCTTCAAGAATCTGACCCTAAACCCTGACCTGAACACAGTGTTATAACATTTAGGGAACATGTAAAATGAAGGTCAGTGCTAAGAAATCAATTGATTTCAAAGAGCTCCATCAATACTGAGCTAAAGAGTCAAAAGTCCAAGCAGAACTGTACCAGATTTACTGATGGCTACAAAAATGACGTGGACCATACAGTATAGGTGTTGCTGTAGGTTATTGTAACCAAATATTACTGGGTTAGGATCGACAAGTGTAATTCCAAACAATTTAGGAAATTAATCAACAAAAATATGACGCTCCCTTGTCAAAAAAACAAACAAACAAAAAAACCCCACTAAAAACAAACTAACAAAATACACTAGAAATATATAATTTATGATTATTACAATTATAAAAAACAGTTCAAACACATTGCTATAAAGTTCTGCATTATTAAAATTGTCAAGTGGGAGTTCTTTTAGGCAAAAACTCTTTAGTTAAAGGTTACCTCACTGGAATTTAAAAGAGGCAACCTAACAGAAAATAATAAATAAAAACTCCTCACCAAACAACAGAAACAAGTGTCAATGATTCCGATGAGTTCAGGCAAACTTAGATCTTTCACCTTGATGGCACCCTCCTGGAATGGAAGTCAAACAGTTAAATCAAGGATTAAAAAAAAGCTTATTATGTACATATGTTAGCTGAGTAGTAGACAATCCGCCTTTTTTTCTACTGCTGTACCTTAATTGCTTGTTCAAAATTAAGCACCTTCCTGTTGACCTGGTTTCCAATCATCCCTGCATCCATTTTAGGATCCATCATCTCGATAGCAGACATAGCCTCAAATAAGCCAAACCTGCATAAGAAAAAAAAAAATAAAATCACTTTGTCTGCTTTCTGAAGAATTTAGCAATTTTAAAATAACATGAAAACAAACAACAAATACTAATTTCAGTGCTGTCAACTTTAATTTGTTCTTTTTGAGTTGTGAAGCAATATAATATAATTGTTTTCTTTATGCTTACAGTTTATCATGAAGCAATTCTCCGAGGTTCAGCTCTGCGAAAATAAAGGAAAAGAACATGAATTTGATCATCAGGATACATTGTAGATTATCCACAACAGTTAAATAATTAGATTTAAACATTTTACCTTTACAAGCACCCTTAAACTCATGGGTGATATCAACCCAGTTTGCATTGTTCTTCATCTTTTCCGGTATGCCCAGCACCCAGCCAGAATCATCATCCTCAACTGCTGACTTCATCACCATGATGACTGACAATGAAAATAAGAGAGATGCAAAGATTTAGACAACCTGGGAGATCTGAATGTTCTTCTCCTTCATCAATTAATTCAAGGAGTTCTCTTAGTTCATAACCAATAGAACCAATATAAAAAATGTGAAGGATCATCTAAATCAATCAGAATACTTTAAATATATGAATAGAATCACTTAATTTCAAGCTTTTACTGCTTTTATGTTACTGATTATGGCTTAAAGCTAATAAATACTAAAATGCAGTTTTGAGTATTGCAATAACACTAGTCAATCAAAAAAGAAAAAAGATATCTACAGATATGTCCACAAAGAATATTACGTATTAGGTTTACAAATACATTTTAATAAAGTCATTGTTTGCTGTTGAGCAATTGCAATCATCAACAGCACTTACTTACTGTTACTGATGATAAAAGTTAGATTATTCAATATTCGGAAAGATGTTGTTTGTGGATTTTGTTTGTTTTTTTAAGCAATATTTGTGATTGGGGGACTTTGACTGCAGGGACATGCAGCCCCCTACAAACCATTACTTAGAGCATCAACTTTTATTTGATTAATTTAGAGACAATGAATAGTGATATCCTTAGACTTAGACATACTTATTTGTCATTTTGTTTACACAAGTGTACAACAAAAATAAATTTCACTTAGAACTGCTCTCTGGACATTTTCTTTTTGAAGTGCAGCCTTGAAAAATAGTAAAAAAAAATATATCCTATAGTATTTCAAATGAATCATCAACTTCACCCTAAAAACTCACCGAAACCGAGCACTCGACGTCGTTAAATCGACAAATGGGAGGAATATTTCAACACTAGCAACTTTAAACTAACACAATAGCTTTACAACTTTGCATATACTATACTATCCACATACTATAGCCGCAGTATAGATCTTATTGGAGTCAATTGCACCTTTTCAGCAAGACATTGGTGTATTTATCATTATATCTCGGACACATAGGTGGTACAAGCTGGGTATTAGGGCTTTCTGTCTGTATTAAAAGAATATCAACAATACTAAAAGCAATGGATCCAGCACGACAGGTATATACATAGTAAATAGGCAAGATAATGTTAGCTAGCCAGTTTCAGTTACCGTTTGCAAACAAATTACTTCGGCCCATGCTGTATCTATAACAACAAACCCCATTTATTCACATTTTATGAATCGTTACCTTGCACCTATAAATACTGCGAATTTTGTTATTCGTTATTCATTAAATAGTTATAAACTAGCACATACCTTATTTTTTTAATCCCCTCGAACACAGTAAAAGCTGGAACACAAATTACACGTCATTGGTCGCAAACATTTCTGGGATTTGTAGTCCATATGGCTACCGGTTAAGTTCCAACTCACGATATTGCACGTCATTCGTTAGATTTAAATGTGGGATCTCAAAAAAAATTATAAAATAACATTATGAGGCATTTTGAGTTTCTATTTATCGTAATTTCGCTTAAAAACTAACTATACAGAAGGAAGTCGCGACTCTCGCGTTGCTACGGCGTCTCCCACTGATCTCGTCACCTCATCAGCAGGGCGTTTCAGGCAAACAGTAGCTGTCTGCCTTATCTCTGAGTCAGACTCGGCCCACCTTCAGCTGGACCGCAGCTCCTTTTAATTCAGGTTTGATTAATTCTATTATTTTATCCTTATTTTAAGTATCTGCTCTGTCTTAGCTCGGGCTGTGCTTCATGTTGAGCAGTGTCGCTAGCTTATTTCTTCGTTAGCTGGCCTGCTGGGAAACACAGGCGCCCGATAATGAGCGAGCAGCCCAGCAGCAGGTGCAGGAGCCTTAAGCTGCTGCTGAGCAATTCATTTTAAAATATTTAGATAAATACATACAAATAAATACATGCGTCCTGAAGCATAAAAAGGGCACATGTTCACATTTTAAACCGTGACAGGACACAGGTCCTTAAAAATAAATCATCCCATCAAGACACTGTTTTGGCCTAAACCATGAGTAACATGTCAGCTGTTTAACGGCTTTTCTGGAAAAAAAAAACAACAACAAAGAAACAAAAAAAAAAAGCCTGGCCTGTTGTTAAAATTGTATTCTCTTTGGCAACAATTATCTGAAATTTAGGGATGTCCTGATCTGATATTAATATTGGAAATCGGTACAATATGAGACAAAAATGTAATATTTGAATATATCAGCCTGCATCTAACATCTCTTATATAAGCAAGTTTATAGAAACACTACACTTCTCTACACTGCTGTTCAGAGTTTATGTCATCCATTGGTTAATAGTATAGGGGCCAAACACTCTTATACCTGATGTTGTTTGCTGCTGTTCTCTGAGTGATATCACTTGATCAAACCTTTTCACTGTAAAAAAAAAAAAATGGTTAAAGTATGTATGAGTCGGGTTGATATTGTATCAGGTCAATATCGGTATCGGTCAATAACCAGAGATTATCTTGCTGTATGTGGTGGAGTAGCAGATGATGATGGGCCTTTCAGTCACAGTCCCTGAGATGTTTTAGAAATGGTTGAATGATTAAAAAATAAAATAAAATCCATGCTTTATATCAGATGAGGTGGAATTTTGCATTGGACAATTTCTACACAACCATCCCAACTATCCACCTTGCCCAGATAAAAACATTGGCACTGGGATCTGCTGTGCAATTACATCAGCTGTGTAATAAGTAATGCCAGTATCAAATATCATGTAATTCAGTTACATCTTCATTGATGAAAATAATCATCCTTCTTGTTTCTGTACAGACAAGAAGGGTTGACAAACTTAAGGCTGTTGAGGTGTAACGTGAGTTAATATAGTTATTGTTAAAAGTTAGGTCATTGGATAAACTCTATTATTCAAAAATATTTTTTGATGATAAACTGCATAATCAGATGTGCCAATCTAGCATTTTTTGATAGTTATTAAATGCCATACTGATAACAAAAATTTATATTTATGTGCTTTTAATACCAGAACATTAGAAAAAAACAAAAAACAAGCTTGTTTAAGTGTATTTCTTTATTTTTTTTAATCCTATAATATTAAAGCAAGCAAGTTATCCTTCGGCACTGCAGGCAGATAATATTAAACTGCATGCTTTGAAATGCTGAGCGACAGCAACAAAGAAGCTTTGAATTTGCTTGAAATTGCAGTTGGGTGCAGTTGAGAACCAGTTATCTCCCAGTATGAAAAGAGTCAGAAGGAGTAAACATGGAAAGAATATCCAATCAGGTAACTACTAGCTGGAAGAATAAAGTGGTAAATAGAAAAAATAAAAACTGTAGCGGATTAATTTAAAAAAATAGAATAGATTTTTTTTAACAAAATTTGCTTCTTTAAGTTGGTTATTCTACCCATTAACTCTTTAAAACTTCAGGTTTCAGTAAGTGTTTCCTGCACCACCATCTACTCCACTCCATTATAAACAATATTGTCTGTTTACCGTAAATAACCATCTAATGTAAACATATCAACATTTTAAGCATAAAACCAAATTCCCATTATTCAATTTTTTTTAAGACAGGCAGTTTAAAGACAGTAGAAATCTGCTTTGGCCTTGTCCCTTTCAAATTAGCTGTTAGCTTTTCACCTTTGTAACTAACTTATATAGATTGAGGCTGAAAAAACTTTAAAACTGTTACCTATCTGTGTTAAGCATCTTAGGACAAATGCTGCAGCAAGTTTGGTCATTTCGACATGTCAGATTTCTCTGTATTTCATTTTCAGCCCTTATAGGTGGTGCAAAACCTAAATGTATTTCTTAATTTTTTATTCCTGCTTATAACTGTCCATAAGGCCATACATTTGATCTTGTCTTAAGTCGTCTTACCAACATACAACCGGCCAGGCAATGGAAATTACAGTCATTGTTTTCATAATAGCACTCAGAATCTGTTTATTTTGTCTGATGGTTTATTTTATTTTTTAGTACAGCTTAAATAAGCTACGTAACTGAAGTTTTACATTTTTGTAACACCTTTTTGGATGAGAAAATCCTAAAATTTTTATCCTTTCCTAAATTAGAGGCTTATCTGTGTGCATTAGATGCCTGGAGAATATTTAACATGATTTGATTAATTATATGCATATTTCTACTCCAAATTCCACAACAGCGAAGCTATCACAGACCAGCTTTACTCCTCCTGACTCTGCTTAAACAAAAAATGAAAAAAAGTTAAATATGTCAAAGAAAAAATGCACCACACTTGTTTTTGGAGGACCTCTCAAATCTATATTCTAACACTGCTTAAAGGGATAGTTCGGTATTTTTGACATGAATCTGTATGGCATCCCCATCACCAGTGTCATGCAATCACACTGACTTACCCCTGGCAGCGTCCTGTGAGCAGAGTTCTCGTCCAGTTTTGGTCAAGCCGAAAGTAGTCCGGCAGGTTTGCTGGAGCCAGCGAAATAAAAAGTTTCTCTTCCCAAAACATTATGTGTTCAAAAGAGTGATATTTTTGCATCCCAAAAACGTTGTAGTGGAAAAAGTCACACGTCGTTATCACTTGGTCCTATTTTCTCTCTGTTCGTATCAGTGCGCGCCGTCATTCAGACAGCTAGGGCCTACTAACCTGACAACAGCCAGATGCATGTCTCCCTCCGCCCAGCTAGGAGCTAGGCGGAGGGAGACATGCATCTGGCTGTTGTTGAGCTCGCTGTCTGAATGACGGCGCGCACTGATACGAACAGAGAGAAAATAGGACCAAGTGATAACGACGTGTGACTTTTTCCACTACAACGTTTTTGGGATGCAAAAATATCACTCTTTTGAATACATAATGTTTTGGGAAGAGAAACGTTTTATTTCGCTGGCTCTAGCAAACCTGCCGGACTACTTTCGGCTTGACCAAAACTGGACGAGAACTCTGCTCACAGGACGCTGCCAGGGGTAAGTCAGTGTGATTGCATGCCACTGGTGATGGGGATGCCATACAGATTCATGTCAAAAATACCGAACTATCCCTTTAAAGGAATAGTACACCCAAAACATGATTAGCCTTCATTTTCTACTCACACCATGCTGAACAACACTCTGGAGTACTTTTTTGATATCTCAAATGCATCTGGAGATCTGGGAGGCTTCTAACTGTCTGCTGACATTCAAATAATGGAGGTCCATGGTGCCCGAGACAGAAAGGTCCATAAAAGTCCACAAAAAACGTGTCAATATTCCTCCATACTGCTCGTCCAATGTATTCCAAGTGTCCTGAGTGGGTAGCATCCAGAATTTACTCGAAACGAAGTCATTTATAATGTTTTTAGAGCATAAACAGTAGTGTATAGGCTTTCCTAAAAGCGCGTTCACGACGCTACGGAAACCGCGGCAGACCAAACCAGACGAAAGTACGCATTCAGCTCGGCAAAGAACTCATGCTCTTCCTCAACACTGAAGTCCTCAGACATTTTTCTTTTGTTGTTTATTGTTTATGCTCTAAAAACATTCTAAATGACTTCGTTTTGAGTAAATTCTGGATGCTACCCACTCAGGACACTTGGAATACATTGGACGAGCAGTATGGAGGAATATTGACACGTTTTTTGTGGACTTTTATGGACCTTTCTGTCTCGGGCACCATAGACCTCCATTATTTGAATGTCAGCAGACAGCAAGAAGCCTCCCAGATCTCCAGATGCATTTGAGATATCAAAAAAGTACTCCAGAGTGTTGTTCAGCATGGGGTGAGTAGAAAATGAAGGCTAATCATGTTTTGGGTGTACTATTCCTTTAAGCTCAGATCAGGCTCTTTTTCTTTAAATGTATCGTTCTTTAAATATCTCTGCTATTTCCCCTTACATACATGCCATGGATATTACTTCTAAAGTTGGGCTTCTCAGTAAGGTAAATATGTAAAGTTGATATTTAAAAAAATACCTGGACCAATGTATTTGTAACTTGAGACTGTTTTGAGGGTGACAACAACGGATTCCTACAAGTAAGTCTGTGTATTCATCTGAATAAGAAATCTGTATTAAAATGCAGATCATTTTAAAATGTTTACAGTGCATATATCCTAAGTAATGTAAACCTGGCCTAAAATATGACCTACACTCCATATGCAGGTCTGTTAATACAATGCCAAGTAGAGACTATATCCCTTTGAAAAGCAGACATAGCTTTCCATCAGTCTGGCATGGTTTAATAAAGTTATTCCTAAACAATTTTAAGTCTATGATGGTACACTGGCACTGTGCTATGTTTCATTTCACAGTTTTAAACCTGACTAGAAGTGATTACAGGGTTTCTTTCTCTATTGGGGATACTTTGTTATAGGCTGGAGCCTCTTCTATGTTTAAAAATCGCCTCTCACTCCCTCAGTCAGTGTATAAACTATCCCACTGCCTTTATTGCTGTTTTTCTTTTCTTCACACATAGTTCCCATAACATTTTTAATACCCACCTATAAACATTCTCTATCTGTTCTGGTTTGAGATGCTTCAAAGACTCGTTTAGTGGGGCTTTATTTTATAGCTGCACCGTTTTTTTATTTTTTTTATTTCTTTATTTTATTATAGCTTTTCATAATCTGTCCAAGTCAAATGTGTGAAATTGTTTTAATTTGTGTATAGCACAGAGACATAAGTGGAAAAAATGCTGCTCACCCTGCCTAGTCGGAGCCTCTCTATAGGCAGTCAGTGTGACATGGAAAAAAAAAATAAGTTCGGAGATTAAAAAGTCACATGTAACTGCTGTGTTCAGGCCCTAACCTGTTTTCAAGTCTCTGACGTAACTATGAACTCCTAACCTCCTTCTCTGGAGGTGTATTTAAGTCTGATGGCCCTGCAACAGGCCAGTGGTCCCAAACACTAAAGCAGATCGAAAACAGAATGGATTTAAATGAAAAAGGAACAGGGTGCTGCAATGGCTCAGTCAATAAAGCAACTCATCATAGTCTGTTTACCTATAAATCTATCTCTCCTTGACTCGATAGCCTTGCAAGCACAACCACTGCTCTAAATATAAATCTTACCAATTATCACATAGGCTTCTGTATAACACCAATTAAATTAGATACTGAAAGTATGACACTAAAGAGTTCTGTATTTTTAAATGCAGATGCAGTGCACTCAAAAAGATGAATGAAAGTGAATCCTCTCATAAAATGATAAAACTTAGAGAGGAGGTACTTAGGATTGTTCCATGAGCCTCAGGGCTGAGGTAGAACCTGATAAACAGGGATTTTATTTTTATCAGGCAGACGGTTGTAGTCCAATGCTATTTGATGTTATTTTGCAAAACATTTTACTCTCTTATGACACTACTCAGGTTTGGGAAAAATCCTGCAAATATTTATACACCAGTACATTCAAAGCTAGGGGCTTTTGAGCTTTACGGTCAGGTGGTTTCAGCATAGTTGCTTGGCTTTCTCCAGTTGGAGTTCTGTGGGAAATCATGTGACCCTGGAGGTTAAGGTTAATCACGCTTGTTTCCAAATGATGCAAATTGTTTTGACTTGTCCTCTTTTAGTAATGTGGACTTTCCTTTTCATTCTCTTGCAGACAACATGACCTTTTGACGTGGGAGAAAAATGAACAAGCCCAAAATGGCCACAGAGAAGGGGTGAGCTGATGCATGCACAGCCACACACACACACACAGGCAGTGATGGGTGAAGCTTAGAGAAACATCTGTTTTATGATCTTCGTAACTCTTGATTCACTTTTATGATGTTGCTCTGTTATATCTTTTATTCCTTTTAGCTTTTGACTCCCTTCGGAGCAGCATCTGATCCTACTGTTTATCTTATTGTTGCACTATGTGTGACCATGTGAGGGAGGGAGACTTTTAACATTTGTGCCAGAGAACACTCTGCAGAGATAATTACACGGCCTTCAGAAGCAGCCATATGAATTTGTCACGACTAAAAATAATCTTTGTTCATCTCTGACTCAGGTTTATTTAGGTTCTACATCTGTTTTTGTTCTTTGCCCATTTAGGCTTTACATTCTCCAGTCATTCCTGACATTTTCTTTAATTATCTGTCTTGATCACTAGCTTTCTATTTCTGTTTTTGTCTCTCTCCTCCTCTTTTTCAAGGATGAGAGCGCCTGCTCTACTGGGTATAATCAGAGCTTAGATTTTTGGTTGTTTGCCCTTGCTTTACCAAATGACCCCTAATCTCTTGCTACAAGTGCCAGAGAAGTTCATGTTATTCGAAAAAGGTCAGCCAGCCCAGAAATAGCTAATCCATTGAGAACAGTCATTAAGTGGGATTTAGTAGAAAAATAAATAATCTTAAAGCAGACCTTAACTGTGTTTGATACCAGTGAAGCTGCTTCTATTTATAGTTTTTTTGTTTTTGACATATAGTTTTTTTGTAGATGTAATAATCCCAGTTTAAAATTTTCTCATTTTGTTATGTATTTTATTGGCATTTTATATGATCAACCCACACAAAGCAGCAGACATTCATAAATTGAAAGAAAAGGGATATATACTTTTACAAATAAGTCTATAAAGTCTGACTTCCATTTGTATTTGGCTCCTTTTAATTTGATACACCTTAGAAGACAAGACAACAAGATATTCAAATCCATTCTCATGTAATTTAATCCCAGAATAAGTCAATTTCTTTAAAGTTGTGCTAGTTTTTGTTAGACAGCATTAGTGTATAAGTATGGAACAGAGGAGACAGGTAAAGATGTCATCTGTAAAACCTCTGAAGTCAGCAGATGAGGCCACTGTTATTAGGCTGATCTTAGACCATGAGAGTTGAACTTACTTAAGACTGTGGAGATATTGTAGGTGAGATGGAAGCAGCATTTTATGAACTCGGACAAACCTTATGTAATATAAGATGAAATGTCTGTTTCTTACCAGTGTTCCCAGTAACTCCAGGGTACTTATGCTCCTCGGCCAACTGGAGAGGATGAATGGGGAGGTCATGCTGAAAGATGTAGAAACGGCAAGACAGGTCACTGCGAAGATCCTTCATCTCATACAGACGCAGGGTGAGGAAAGCAACAAAATAAAACTCACATTTCATTATGCACACATGCTCGCAGACCTAACCAAATGCTGATTCAGCTAATTACATAGCAGCATCCCTGTTTATTAAGGCACTTTATCTAGAGTTGCACATCATTTTTCACTTCCGATTTATTCCTGACTACTAGCAAGTTATGCTTAAACGATTACTGATTGCATACTCAACAATGTGTGAACCAGACAGTCCACAGCAGCAAAGAAAGTTTGCAAAAAAAAAGTTAAATACCAGTGTCTCGTCAACCTTTGGTGTAAACATGGGGAATATTTTCATGACAAACCTTGGGCCTCTGAGTGCCAACTGATAACTGTTTAATCATCACAGCCATTCTCCATATAACTGTTGTTTACCGATTTCCTGACGCTTGCCCTAAACAGGATAATGCTCTATTTAACAAAGGTTAAGTCGATTTAACTCACTGGCCTTCACAGTCACAACATTTCACCAGCATTAGCTTGGCCTGTTCAATTTGTGTCAAAACTACGATGTGAATTGTTTGATCTTGAATTGAATTTCTAACGTGCAAAAACACAGACATTTAAGCTTGTGTGTAAAGTTGTTGCAACATTTCCTGCATAATCTGCATCTATTGGTGAGAGTGCATTCACCTGCATTCAATCTCAGAAAAATATAGAAGATCGAACATTTAGAGACAGAAGTAGCTTATGATGTGATTAGTCCTTATTAAGGTGTATATTTTTATGACAGTAGAGACATTCAGACGCTGTGATCTGTAGAGAACGAATATATCCCCCTGCCAAGAAGATATTCCTAAATATAAACCTTAGTGAATGTTAACATAAGGGCTGCCAATAACGATTATTTTATAAATCGATGAATCTGTCAATTAATTTTGAAGTTAATGGATTAGTAATGGGATAGCCAAAGAATCCTGACTGAAGTTTCTTTATGAAATTAAACCAGGTGAAAATAAAACTTTACCACTTAAGGAGATTATTATAGAGATTATTGATGGACAAAAGTTTTTTTTTATTTTTTTATGCAAAATATTTTACAATTTTTATATACTTACTGCTCTGAGCGGGTTGCTACTCTATACTCCAGTTATTTATTAATCAGTAAATGCAATTATGTGACGATTATTTTAATTATAGATTAATACGATTAATTTCAGCCCTAGTTAACATTTCAAGTATGCAAGTATTGATCTTCAATTTGATATAAATTCACATACAGTGTTTCTTGAAGACACAAATCAGGAGCAACAAACTAAACCTTTGAGACATTTTCAGTTTTTACTCAATTAGCAAATCATAACATAAGTTTCAGAGTTTTTGCTGATTGGAGACATAGTCTTTAAGCATGATTTACTTTTAGCTCAATGTTGCTAGGGAACTAAATATTTATACATATAAACTTACAAAGTGACGTTTTAGCCTTTTTATTAGCTAGTCAGAGATGTTTGTAACCTTCAGCAACTAAACTTCAGCAGAGATTTATATCAGGCTGAAGACATCTGATAAGCTTAGTTCTTCCTAACACCACTCTGCCAAACCCTGGCTGTTTTATTCAGCTATTTTTCCTTCTGCTGTTCTCAAATATGAGTTCTTCAGTCAGTGACAGTGACGTCCTCATGGAGTTTATTAATTTTATCTTCTGAAAGCAAACCTTTTCTCCTTATTTTCCTTTGTTTAGTAAATTAATTCACAAAAACTTGTTCAAAAGTCCTCCTGTGCAAAAGGAGAGGATGGGTGCAGCAGTAGCTGAGGTGTAGATTGACTGATCTTGAGCCTTCGAGTTTCTGATTACTCTTTAAGAGCGGTGTTGATCTCACAGCGGAAAGAGAAGGCATTGTGCCACCTCTCAGTGTTGAACACCATGTAACATGAGTGTTTCTCTGTTAGCAAGGAGCCTCTGCTGTAAACTTGGATTAGTTCAAATATCAGTTTCACATTGTTGTTGCACTCTTACACTCGATAAATGCATTCGCCTAAGTGGTGAAATTAACTGACAGTTTTGATGCTTGTTTAAGTCATTTATCACGCAAATATGCAAAGCATTCTAAGCGTGCAAGTTTTGACATGCTAGGATTGCCTGCTATTCTCAAATTGGCATGACTGTAAATAGCAAACACGCACTCACTAAACTAGAAACGTAGAGACAGAAATTCAGGCTGTTAAATATACTAAGTGTTCATTCAACAGCTTTTAGATCTGCTGCCTAAAATAACAACTAAATCTTATATATAAAATTTCACAGCAATCGATTAGAGGTTGTTGGCCAATCCCAGGTTTGTGAAGCAGTATTTATTTACCGGTAATAGATTTATTTTTCATCTTGCTGTGAGCAAATATTTTCCCCTTGGATTACTAAGCAAAATCCAAAATAGGTATATGGTCTTCCTGTTGTGCTTTTACGTTTTTTATTTGTAATTTTAGCAGCAGATGCATTACAGGATTTATGGAAAGCAATCAGTGTGACCCTTAACCTTTCAGTCTGCAAAGGCCTTCCAAGTATTTTAGCTACGGCACATTTTAAAGCATTAAGACAGAAAACAGAGGAATAAAATGGAGCCTTCAGCATGCTGGTGTCTAATAAGATGGCTACTTTGCCATTTCGTGTTTGTAATTGCTAGAAAAGCTTCCAACCAAGACAGTCTCTGTATCATGGCAGACTAATTGAACGATCCATATACTTTCTCAGAAAATGCAGTGACTTTTAAAAAGCTTATTATACGGCTGTGGTTGCTCTGGCTTTATTTTATCCCTGTCTGTAAAGCCATACATGGTTTTTTTTTATTTTTCTTTTATTTAAGGCTAAAATAGTAAAGACCTTAAGCTTATAGTAGGTCTTTTCTTTAATTTAGCCATGCCAGTCAATATTTCTTTGTTAGCCTAATCATGGTCTGCCTGGCACTGACTTTGTAGATGCTTAGGAAATTACAATGAAAACGTTCTTCTAACGTGTATGTAACTTTTGGCTCTAAAATGGCGATTTCAAAAGGCTGAAACCTCTAGCAGTCGTTATAAGCCCTAGTGTCTACTATCAGAAGGTGTTGAAGTTGGATGGCCAAAGTGTGAAAGCTCTGGGATGGCATGCCAGTTGAAAAGATTTGAGATTTAAATTGACTAAGATGTGTCTGACTTGCCCAAGTTATTAAGCTCAGGAAAACTATAACATAGCTAATCTGGGATTTTTTAATTAAAATAATCAATGAGAAAAAACAAGTATCTCAAATTAAGTTATTTGAACTGACAGTGAAGCCACTTTCACTCATACTGAAACTGGCCAACTTCATATCTTCTTCCCTGAGTAGCGACTTCCACACTGAAGAAGTTAGGGTGACGAGGTAGTTTTGTTAACTTGTGCTCATTGGTTGGAAAAAGATCTGATTTTTTTAGTTGCCAACTGTTCGTAATGCTGAAAATAATCAGATTCTAGCCACTGCTAGCTCTAGATACTTGTTTGCGACTTTTAGGGAAGCACACAGGGAGTTCTTGCATTATGTTATGTAACAGAATGTTACTGAATTGCTAATTTTCCCTTGCCTACATGCTTTGCTTTTCCTCTGACCTTGTTTCCATCTCATCTTTCTTGAATATCATCTTTCCTCTTTCCATAATTTTGGTCTTCTCCACTCTTCAAAGGAAAGCTGTTAATCCATTCTGACTGACGGGCACAGTGGAAAACCGTCTGTCTGTAACTCTATCAATCATGATATACAGCTGTTCCCCTTCTCATCTACTGCTTTGCTATCTGTCAGAGCCTCCCCTGCAACCCCAACTTGAAACTTGCATGAGTATGACGTTGGTTAGAGGGAAGTGGAGGGGCACAGTGACCCTGTTCACAGTAACTATACACTCCAGGAGGGACTTTTCTGTCCTCTGTCTTAAGTTCAGAGTCTTAGGGGCTTAAGAGGCAGGGAAGAGAAACCTAAAGAAAGAACAAGGGGAAGCTAAGGCTTATTATAGTGTCCTTTTCCATCTCAGAGTGGTGTATTCCCTTATATGAAACTGTTTTTACATGAAGAGATGCATCTAAAACAACTGTCGGTCTTCAGTGGTTTACTTGTTGGCAAAGTTCAGAGGGAGGGGCTTGTTTCCAAGTGTAGATATCTGTGCACACATGGTAGAGGAGCAGGTGGATTGTGTTAACATCCAAAGAGATCACTGTTTGCCTTGAGGGGATACAGACATACCAATGAAGCTTTGGGGGGATCTTTACTTTTTGGCATCATTTACTACAACATACCTAACCCAAAGGGGTTTGACTTATTGTGGTGGAAGTAGGGCAGACGTTTTGGAGAACTCCACACATTTTCATTCGAATGCTTGAGAATCATTAGGCTTTTTGTTTCAAAATGGATTACCGCTACACTAGGAGATACTATTCATCACTGGACTCTTTGGACTCATCAGGTAGGGTCAAGATTGGCTAAATATACCAGAACAATTTTTTAAGAGGTCAGAATTTTCTATTTCAGACCTAATTAAAATCTGTAATATATAGATTTTTTTTGCCACAAGTTTATTTGTAAATTAAAACAGTATATTGAATTCAATAAATTTGATATTTAGGTTTATCAGAGGAAACTAAGGAAAAATGCTTTTAACAGCAAAAAGAAATGTTGTTTTTAAAACCGACATAGTCATAATAAACAAAATGTGCAACTAATAGGGTAAAAGTCCAAACGGCATGCATAATTTTTTAATAAAAAAAACAATAGACTATTAACAAAACATTGAAATAACAGTGCAACTAACAGCAGGGTGTAAAACGACTTACTTAGCTTGTTCAGAGCATGATTATAAAATCTATTAGCTGCAGGGAAGAAGGATCTGCAATAACGCTCCCTTTTGCAAATGTGCTGCAGCAGTCGTTCACCTAAAAATTACAATTGAGTTCAACGTCAGGTCTTTTTTCTAGGCATTTTTTTTTTGTAGATCCTAGTCTTTGATTAAATGTAAATCTCTTAACTATTATTAACCATAAAGGAACCCAGTTCCTGTGATTAAATATAATAGATAGATGGAGATATAAAAAAAATACATTCAAAGTATTTTTTTTAGCCTTCTCTTACCTGTCATCAATTTTAGGAGTGGAGGTGCAATCACGCTTGCTGTATTCTTTTCATTTATTATATAAAAATTTATTATATAGATTTTTTTTTTTTTTAGACCAATGGCAGAGTTCACATTTTTAATCAGCTTTGTTTGTTTTGTTGTGTTTTCTGTGGACCTTTTACCTTAAGCCTTTTTACAAAAGGCTCCCTTCATATCCAAATTCTGCATAATCAATAGAACTCTACTTCCTTTTATTTACTCCCAAGTCTTGCAGACGTACCTGGACATGTAGAAAATTTCTGTGAAATTGCTTCTTATAGTTTTTGTTTGCTTTGAATTGAATTTAAACACCCCATTGATTCCACAAAAAAACAAACTGTTAAACTGTTTTTGCTGAGGGATTTTCAGCATGAGCTGATTAGTCCTAATACTTTTAATAATGAGAAAAAAATAGATTACTATGGTCCCAGCCTAGAGATTACTGGTTTGGCTTAATTATTACTGCAAATCAGCTGAAATTTCTTTGCACCTCTCTTCATTTTCCTTAAAGATCCAAACATTGATCATATCATTCTAGTATTCATTGTTACAGAAATGCATCAATCAGCATTTAGGCGTTAAGGTGCTGATTTGTTTAGAAGCTCTTTAAAAAGCCTGGCATGATAAAAATGTTTTTAAGACGATGCTGCTCCCCTTTCCGCCAGTCTAAAGTGTGAGGAGAGACAGACTGAATGAACATGATTCCTGTTTGCTCTCCAGTGTAACTTCAGCGTATTCTCCTCACTGCAAACTGCGGAGGCTGCATAGCTGACACATTTTATCCCCACATGCACTGGATATTGCATATTTTGTCGAACACCCAAAACTGCCTGACATAGTCTAAAATCACCACTAAGTAATGTAACCCTTCACTTAAAAAAACAAAACAAAAATAAGGGTATATCTCTGATTAAAATGTGCCAGCTTAAGAGAAATCTAGTAACATTATCTCCTGCTCCCAACTTTGTCATTGATTATGTTATATATGTAATTTTCTGTTGTTTATTTGCAGTATTCTGTTGTTATTGAAGTCCTGCAATTTTAAAGGATGTTTTGCAAAGCCGTCAGTGTCCGTTCCAGCTTTTTTATTGTTGTTTGGCGGTTTAATATGTTCCTTTAATCTGTCAGCACTCCTAAACATCGATGTTAGGCCCTGCAAAACAAAATACACTCGGGTAAGACTGTTTTTGTTATTAAAGGACTAAGTAACTGCTACGTCTTCCTCAGTTGAATAGAAAACTTAATAATATATATGCGGGGAGGGGGCAGGTTTAAGAATTCCTTAAAGTTTTAACTTATGACATGTTGAAAACTAATATGGATGCAAAACAAATATTTGCTATGTAAAGATACAATGGATTAAAGGTCCTCAGCAGAGAATGAAATCACTTTCCCTCTTTGTTGTAATGTGAGCCTCTGCGCTCTGTTGCGGGGCCCATTGTAACGCCATTGCATATTTTTGAATGGGAGTCTGGCAAAGTTTGAAGCATTCAAGTGGAGATGATCTTCTACACTTCAGTTCCTGAAAACAAGCCAAGCTCTCATTTTAAGATGGCCAGAGATAGGAGAGATAAAGATATAGTATTACATCATGTTGACTCAAATTAGATAGATCTTTGAGTGTCTTTGTCAAGCATTTGTTCCACTTGTTTGACGTAAAAGGAATAAGTCATCACCTACTCTTATAACTACAGATTTAGGATGGGTCTATGATCTTTTTATAAAGTCTTAAAAGGCACAAATATCTGTGTTTTTATATTCCTGATGATCTTTTTACTGTCTGTTGTGTTACAGAGAAGAGTGGAAAAGAGGTGATGTCTAAAGGCTCCAGTGGAATGGAGGTCATCCTGTCTTCTCTGGAGGTCAGCTCATGTTCAGTCAACCACAGGCTATCCCATCACACCACTGTAACACAATATTCAATAGGCTCCCTTTTTAAAATTCACCAAGAGTAAGATTAAGTTACTTTTAATGAACGGTTCATTACCCTCTGTGAGTCAGTATGACACATCAGATGCAGGTTTTAGAAAGTAAATAACCTTTATGTAATAATGAAAATAAGAACCTTTTGAATTATAGTTTTGTAAACCAGAAATGTAACAAGATAAAAACAGACTATTTAAGAGAAAAAATATTGCATTACAACCTTGTAAGATATAAGAATGAAGGGGGCTTTATTGTTATTTGTACATTAATTTTTTTTTATCAGAATGTGTCTTTTGTCGGTTTTGCTTTTCTTAATTTTAAAATTGTCTCACCACATCAGAAAATTGTTTAAATGAAGCATTTTGGTCTACAGTCTTCTTATAGTTGCTGATGATTCAGTCTCCTTTATTGACTGCAGCTCTGCAGCCAATTTCATGCTGATTATCTAAGAATAATAAATATCTATAAGTTCATAAAGAATTGCTCTTATTTAATAATATGTCAACTGTGTCCATCATTTAATCATATGTGATGCTTGTCACTTTGACAGAACAGCAGGGATGTCCAGACTACTCTGAACATCATGTACATCCTCAGTGAGCTGCTGACAATCGGTAAGGAGGCTGTGATTTATTTTACATCAGGTTGCATTAAATAAATTAAGCCTTTTGCAGAGATTGCTCCTGCATTTATTTATAATGCAATTTAAAGCCATTTAGAAACATAATATATTTTCTTAAAGCTTGCATAGTATAATTTGATTCCTTGATTAATAATATGGCAGTGATAAATTGTATCAATGTTACCCCATGTGGTTCTAATCTGGTCCTGAATTAAGTTTCAGCTCTTTTAATACAGTTCTATTCCTGGTTTTCTGTTATAGGCAGAGGCCGCAGAGTGGGAGTGTTTGTTTCCAAAGGAGGAACAGGAGTTTTATTCCAGATTCTGATCTCCGCCAGTAATGAGCTTCCTCCCAGTGAGGAACTCATGCTGCAGCTTCACTCACTACTGGCCAAGGTTGGACCGAAAGGTATATTTATTTTCGATCAGAGTCTATCCATCTAGAAAGTTATGTATGATGCTGAATCCTTACAACGCTAGGATTTTTAAAAGCTCAAGACATTTAAGCTGGTTTTATAGGCGCATATCTGTGAAATTGTCCGCGTCTAAAGTAATGTAGAGATCCATCCTATTGGTCAAATACATGAAGGGCTTAATTTGATTGGTTAAAAACTTCAAGCGCCCATGTGATTTACAAAACACCAATATGTAGGGTAGATATAAGCATTTGACTCAGCCATTTATCACAGTTTAACGGTTTTGTGATAAAAAATAAATGTATTGATAACTTAACCATTTAAGGATGAAAAATTCCTCTTCTTAACACAGTACACTACTGACCCCCACTGGTTGAATATGGTCTGAATTAATCAGTAGGTAGATTTGACAGCCCTGCCATGCTTAGTGAACAAATCTCTCTGTGTTTAATGTAGGGGTAGAAACTGGTCAAATGTGGGTTAATTTGTAAATTTTGTATGGATTTGTGTAGATTTTCAGCCACAGTGACAGGTTGCAATTCCAATAGTAAATGCTATTTAGGTAACTAGCATTTAGGGCAGCAATGCGCCGGAGTTGCTACATCTTTCCGTTTCAACGGTAAACTGTGAGAAATTGAAGAATTAATTTTGGCAACATAATGTTACAACCTCTCACAAACTAGCGTGTCTTAGACTCCATCTTACTAGACATCTCTGTTCATAAACATCCGAGAATGACTGTAAGTTCTTTTCAAGAGTTATTTATAATCAATAGATACAGGTGATACTTATGGCATGGGCAGGTTCATTGAAGACAGAGCAGACATTCACCAGACACGTCTCTACAAAGCTGCATTTTTACAACCGCGTACAAAATGTCCCACTGAAAGCTGCTCAAAGGGAAGAAACGTTTCTGTTTGAACGGACAATAATTACTGTATCCATCAGCAGATTTTACACTGGTGGCACAACCTAATACTCACATCTCGTTATTTCAGTATATCCAATCTAAGATTCCCATGATGTCTGAAAAATGCTACACTAAACAACATGGTGGCTGGTAAAATATTCAAGTGGTTCGTACTAAGTGCTGTAAACCCCTGGTTTAGTGTCTCATGTAAGTAGGTGACAACACTTGGCTGTGACATATGAGTTGTGTATTTGTAGCAAATTAAGATGTAGCTTTTGAGATCACCATAAAATGTACACAAATAATGCTGAAGAATTATTAGGTATTTTATTGTATGAAATTTGCAAGTGTTTTTTTTTCTGGAGACTCCTGTAGACCTCTTAATTTTACTTGAATTGCTTAATGTACATCTTGTACAAAATGTCCATTTAATCCCATTAATAACCATTTTTAGGGGTATCTAAGTGTTTTCAGACGGCACACAAGTTGCTTAGTAGCCTTTTTTATTTCATTATCAGGGAGCATCATACTTTTCTAGCACCTTCTTTTCTAACATCTGTACAAAACTTGGCTGTCATGTTTTATCTTTATCCTTTGAGCATCATTAAATAATGCTCAAAAAAGAATAATCAAAAGTTGGTTTTATTATTTGAAAAAAAATTTCAAAGATGAGATCATGAGTTTCAAAAAATTAACTAGAGATGGTAGTTCATGCTTTTCATTTGTGCTAACAGTCGACCGATACAGGCTTTTTTAAGGTCTATAAAGATTATTTTGACATCTGACTGATTTTGAAATTTGACAACAGTTTTTTTACTTTATTAAAATGACAGTAATAATAATTGCTACATCTAACAGAACATTTAAAATGGAAAGCGAATGGAAGGAGTTGCAATGTGATCTTAGGACATGGCTGATGAATACACTAATGAATCTGCCAATGCATGCACTTATTGGCTGCTAAGATGCAATTTTTTTATTGCCAAAAAAAATCCGCTGGCTGATGTTTCAGTCTGTCTCTTACTAGGACTATTGTTTTAGTCTTTATGTGTCTCAGTAAATCGGTTTTAAACCTGTGTCAGTCACTTCAGAAAAACAGAAGCTTACATGTGCTCTGCACTGGCTTCCTTTACGATAGAGACTACATTTCTAAATGTTAATCCTAAAGGTTAAGGCTCTATAGTTAAGCTACGGAGTATGTTAATAGCTTATGGATGCCATATAATTCCCCTTAGATTCTAAGATCAGCTGGTTACTGGTAGTAATGCAGACTCGCCTTAGACCTTGAGGAGATTGGGCTTTCCTGGTGGTGGCTCAAAGGCTCGGGAACTAGCTCCCACTTTCTTTGTGCTACATAAATACCCTACAGCCTTTTAAAAATCTGTTATTTTTATATAAGCAGGCTTTTAAATAGACTCCATATATATTTGAAGTATATATATATTTCTATTCTTATTATTCTTACTATACTCTTACAGTGCATCTTGTGAAGCTATATTTACTCTGTCTGTGAAAGGTGCTATGCTAATTAATTTGACTGCTTACATACTTAATATTGCTTTTTATTGCTGCTTCATTATCAGTGATTTACTGAAATTAATGTAAAAAACTGAATGTATGATTAAAAAAAATCTTAGTAGGCGAATTATAATGTATAACAAAGTGTTTTTGACTCCTGTAAGACTAGTTTGAGGTTTAGTTAAAAAGCATATTGCTTCTTTCTCACTCACTGATATTAAACCTTTTGTGTCTTTAGACAGAAAGTTTGGAGTGAAGGCACGTTTGAGTGGAGCTCTGAACATCACGGTCAACGTAATTAAACATAATCTACAGAACACAAAGCTGCTTCTTCCTTGTCTGCAGGTTCTCAGGGTTTACTCTACCAACTGTAAGTAGAATGCATCCTCAGTGTCTTGGAGCTGGGATAAAAATCGTATCTGCGCTACCAACTATGTAGTTAACTTTGACCTCCTCCTGTGCTTTTTCATATGCAAAGCGGTAAATGCTATTTCTTTGGGCAAGTGCGGTGTGATGGAACTTATTTTCAAGATTGTCGGGCCCTACAGTAAGAAGAACACCAGCCTTTTCAAGTGAGTGTTTTTCTCCTGTTAGAGAGGCACATAATTATAGACAGCACTGGTATCCACAGGTTTGTGGCCTTTTTTTACAGATTTATCAGTCATCATTTAACACTTTGCTTTATTTTTTTAAATAAACAGGATAGCTCTGGATGCACTTGGAGCTCTACTCAAATCTAGTAAGTATGTTATTGGTATGAACTTTATGTATGTATGTTATTGAGTTGAACTTCATCTTCTAGTCCTTCATCAGTACACTCTTCATCCAGTGTTGCATACCTTTTAGTTTTTCTCCTTGCTGCCTTCAATAACACACTTTGCTCTGGAACCTCTATTTCTGTCTGTCTTTACAGTTTTTAGTTGGACTCATTGATCAGTCCATATCACAGTGTTAACCCTGTGTCTGTTTATCTACTATGTCTTCCATTCCTCTGTGCAGAAACTAATGCTCGCCGTTTGGTAGACAGTGGCCATGTGTCTGTCTTGCTCACTCTGTACCTGGATTGGCATCGCAATGACACCCGACACAGATGTGTGTTGATTCGTAAAGGATTGCTGGTCTGCCTCAGAAACATTACCAACATCAAACTGGGCCGAAAGGCTTTCTTAGAGGCTGACGGCATGAGAATCCTTTACAACTCCTCCAATGTGAGTGAGAAAATCAAAGCAAGTAGAAAAGAAAACAGCACCGCAGTAGTCTGGAACATTTCATTTCATTCTTTTTTCTTTTTTTTTTCAGGAGTGTCTACCAGTGCGGACACTGGATCCACTAGTGAACACTTCAAGCCTCGTCATGAGGAAGTGTTTTCCGAAGAATCGTTTGCCTCTGCATACTATCAAGTCAGCCTTCCACTTTCAGCTGCCTCATGTCCCCCCTGGAGGACCTGTGGCTCAGCTGTACAGCCAGCCTTCTGGGGGTGAGTACACACAAGGTGTACATAACCCTATACGCAGTTTAGTTTAGGGGGGCTAGCTTGTCACAATAATTGTTACCGTAATTATAGAAACAAAAGCAGTGATGTAGTGTCATGTCGCTGCCACACATAACGGGCCTTTTCAGTCTAATGAACTAATCAAATCTTCAACAGCCCTTAACAAGTGTTGTGTACATACCATAAAGTATTTATTCACTCCCTGATGAGCAGAAATGTAAAATCTAAGAAAAAGGCTGTGATTGCATCCTCCATTTGTATTCAGTTGCCTTAAATTTGGTTGGAGAATAATGATAGAACTAGCATCATTAAGACCAAAGAACAGACTAAACAGGTCAGGATAACATTATGGAAAAGATCAAAGCAGGATCAGGTTTATTTCCCTATTTTTCATCCAGCTTAGCAGTCAACTCTCATCATTGCAACATTTGAGGAAAAACAGTATGACACTACAGCCATATAGATACAAATGTGATGTCAAACCTTTAAGCTTTTATATTTGTAAAAAATCTTTCAAAATATATCTGCTATTACCTTCCTCTTCATAATTTTGATTTGCTTTATTTTGGTTGGTGACATAAAATCCCAATAAAATGTTTAAAATTGTGTTTTTTTGTAAAAACTTTTCCAGGTAACTGCATTAAAAGCTATTAAAATGTCATCAGGACCATCCACTCCTTATTAAAGTGTAATTTTAGATAGCTCTATTATTTCCTTTTCCATCAGTCTCTTCTCCTGACTCCTCACACACCCAAATGTTTTCCGTTATACTCCTACAGCAAAGACACCAATGTCTTCTGCTGAAATATGTCCAGAAATCAGAAAAGCTGGTCTCTTATGTGTATAAAATGTGTCTGCATGTTTTGTGCCCAGTGGATGATGTGGCAGATGAAAGCGATAACGAGGAGCCAGAGGCAGAGACAGACACTGAGAATGACGAAGATGACAAGGATCAGTGTAACCTGGTAATACTCAGAATTTCATTCATAGATAGTTTTTAATTTGACAGTCTGATGTATTACTGCTATTATAAATATAAACTGTAAAGAGTACTATAATATTCCCTCTTAGTTTGCTATTGCTAATTTTACCAAGAAAGCTTTGTGATGTTCAAACAATTTGCATGATCTACATGCTATCTCTAGCATTTGCAATTCTCTGAGGTTCCAGCAGATGGAGTCACTTACAACTTGAAATTAATAGTTAAATGTTCAGTTTTCCTTTTCAGCAATGTCTGTTGTTGTTTTGGTTTTGTTTTCTGTGTGGTTATGTTTTTCTCCCTCAATCAGAATGATGACATAGAGACGGATCTCAATAAGCTACATCCCAAAAGGACCATTGGACGCCCGTTTGAGGAGCTGAAGATCTATCAGAAGTTCTTCTCAGAGCTTTCTGAAGACTTTCAAGTAAGTGTTTTCTACTTTTAGGAGCTTTTTTTCTTTCTAAATATAGATTTGATTCTTGAGTTTAGGATTGGCTTTTTGGCTAAAATATATTACAACCATCTTTCTTTTTAATTTGAAATAAAGATCATGCCATTTAGATATGGCTAGCCTATGAAAATTATGCTGTTAACATTCTTCCTTATTGAATGAAGGGACTTATGTCAACTTTAACTTGTATTGCAAACGTTAATTAGCTTTATTATTTAGTTCAACAATTGCAAAATTTTATTTATTTTTACTTGAAAGAACATGATAAGGTTGAATTCCCACTAAAGTTATTCCCACATCCAAGCACTGACTACATGGGTAAATGGTTAATTAAGCCTTAAAAAGTGGTGCATGTGTCACAGTTTGAATAAAAAGAGATAGATGTTTCCAGTAAGTAATTGCAGCTGATCTACTCAGGCTTATTCCTATTATTAAATGCTAAAGACATTGTAAAGCTTGAATTAATTTTCATATTGTTTTTAGAGTGGTAAAAATTGTCCACCTGTGACTTTTCTTTCTCTGTGTGACTTTACCTTTGTTCCAATATAAATATTTGAAGAAAGTTCACTAGAGAAGGGTTAGAAATAAATATTTTGAAAGCTGTTAAAAAAAAGATGACCAAATCTTTAGGTACTTTTAGAAATAATCAGTTAAAGTATTTTATTTTTCAGGTATAGATAATTCTGCAGTTGCAGTAGATTGTCTAATAATTTTCCATAAAGAACAGACTTCTCTGGCTATTTCCTTTTAACCTCTAATAAACAAGCCTCTTTAACAACATTTGTTCAAAATTTTTCCCCCAAACTACATGTTCATGAGATGGCGTTTGATAGTTTTAAACGCTGTGCTTTATGTTGCAATAGGTAGATATTCCATGCTAATCTATTTATTGAATTCCTATAAATTGTTTTTGAGCTGTTTGCAACCTTATCCCTCAAAATTCTATAACCCCCTTTTTTTATTTTTATACCAGGGGTACAGCTTTGAATCTGCAAAGAGTTCCTTTACTACTTCATCAGCACATCTCTTCTCATCATTATCAGCTCGGTTCACTCAACCGGTTGTAGTGCCTGCAGCTCAAGAGTCCCCAAAGCAAATACCAGGTTCTGAAGTGATTTGCAACTCTGTCAAAGAGCATCAGAGTCTAGCCTCTCCCTCCCCCACTGGTTCTCAAACTCCTCTGGACCTGAACTCAATCGACCTCAGCAAGGGCAAAGATAAGAAAGAGGATGTCAGCATTCCAGCTGCAGATGGACACTCTGCTCCACCCCCTTTTTGCAGTTCTCCCTCTCAAGGACCTTTAATAGAACAGGAACTCTCCCATCCACTGGAATGTGTCTCTCTAGAGGACAAAGGAAGTCAAAATACAGAGGCTGGGTCTGAGAAGGCCAAACATGAGGGGTCTCCAGTCAATAACTTGAGACAAATACAGTCACCTTTGATCCTTGGGGGTTTCCCAATACGTCGGGCAGGTGGGGGAGGCAGCAACGTGGGTTCAGAATGTGGCTCAGATGGTGCTGAAGATGAAGGAGGAGAAGGTGCCGTTCTTGAAGTGCCAGACACAGCTCAGCTCCTGCCGCTGCATGACCCTGACCTTTACGTGGAGATGGTGAAGGGGACACAGTCAGTCCCACATTATGCTGAAGTGGCTTACCCAGATTACTTTGGCCATGTACCTCCAGTGTTTAAGGAACCTCTTCTGGAGAGAGTGCATGGTGTACAGAGGTGAGACAATTGCGATAGTAGCTAAAGAAAATAGATTAAGTTAAAAGTTAAGGTGTATCTCACCAAAACATCCTTACGTTTTGAGCCTTTTCACATTTTTATTCACATTGTCTTTTTTTTTAGGATTTCTGTGAGTACACTGTTCATAGTTTTGAATTGGTAGAACATTAATATAGTTTATAGTTTCTGATATTATGTCCCAAATGTAAAAAAAAAAAAAACCTAAACAAGAGTCTGTCAGTCATACTGTATTTTATTCGGTCCTTAAATCAGTATACTGTAGGAACATCATTTGCTGCAGTTTGTGCTACTTGGTATTCTGTCTCTGCTGCTTTCTTAGCAAGAGAAAATCTTGCTGGCATTTATTTATTTATCTTGTTTCGTCCCCATCTATAGGTCAAAGATATTTCAGGATATTGAGCGGCTGATTCATCCTAATGATATCTTGGATAAAGTAGTTTATGACATCGCTCATCCCAGGTGAGCTACAACACATCTGCTGAAGTTTTTAGTTGAAGGAAGGGTGTTGGTTTTCATCCAGTGTTTATAAGATCTTATGTTAAAGTGTTATCAAAGACATGGATACCTCAGATTTGTTATTTTCATTTTGTTAAGAGTTTCATCCTGTTAAGAGTTTCATCCAAGCTGATTATATATGATTGCTATCAATGCATTAAGATTGTTTCTGTTTCAGTCCTGTGATTGAAGAAAACAGCGAATCTCTGAAGTTCAACTCTCAATTTGAGTCGGGGAACCTCAGGAAAGCTGTTCAAGTTAGGAAGTAAGTAGCAAATATAGGATCTGAAACTCTAATACAAATTAGAGATGTACTGATCTGATATTGATATCAGACATTAGTCTGACATCAGCCCAAAAAACTAAATATTAGAATAAATCGGCCTGCAATTAAAGCATCTGAAATCAGCAAGCTTACTCATTAACTCATAGTTGTTAGTTGTTCTGTCTATTGTTGTTGACTGTTTTCTAACGTTCCACACTACAAAATGAGTAATAAAAGCATTTCTTACACATTTTGTAGTGTGGAATGAGTAATTCCACACTATTAATGAGTAAGTATTTAGAAAAGTATTTGTGTTATCGTATTGAATAAATACTCAAAGCTGCAATATTGGTAAAGTATTAAAAATGATACCACATAATTTCCTATGAGGAACAATCTCTGTTGAATGTATATATAGTTAAAGTTTAACCTGGCTTCAATATTGATGATCTGGTTTTTACCTGTATGTTCCCTTGTACATGTTTGTGTTGTTCAATTAATTTATTGATTTGTTTTTTCTAGTTGATGTTTGGGTTAATATTTAGAATTTTTATGTTTTGTTTTGCTTTCTCTAGATATGAGTACGACCTTGTTCTGAATGCAGATATCAACAGTAATCACTACCATCAGTGGTTTTACTTTGAAGTGAGTGGCATGCGTGTCGGGGTTACGTACCGTTTCAACATCATCAACTGTGAGAAGTCAAACAGCCAGTTTAACTATGGTGAGACATGAGGCCACATCTGAGGGAAAACACAGCAACCATTTGAGCTAACAAATGCTATGCAGCACAGCATAACCTTTACTATTACTTTGAGTAACATTATTATTTTTTGTGTGTGTGTTTAGGCATGCAGGTGTTGATGTACTCTGTGCAGGAGGCCATTGGTGGCAGGCCTTGTTGGGTCAGAACGGGAACAGACATCTGTTACTATAAGTAGGTGAAATCCAAAATGTGTAATGGACCTGCACTGTTGTTTCCTGTTGAAAACAACCATCCAAAAAAATTTTGCCATTAGTAGTAAAGTTGCATAAAGCTAGATTAGTTTCTTACTTTTGTACACTTCATTTAGCAGTTTAAAATACACTTCACTATATAATAATTTATATTTTACTGCATTACTAAAAGTTATGAGCTCTTATTAATGGACTTAATGCTCAGCAAGGCCTCATTTAGAAACTATATCACTGCTTTACTGTCCATCTTCACTTTTTTATGGAATATGGATATATGATGCTCCAGTTTTTATAGCTACACCTAAATGCTCCTATAAAATTTCCAGTTTTTACTCCATTGGTTTTATTAGGCGAATATGCAGGACAACTTTGCTAAAGAGATAAAGTTTTCAATAAGTTTTTTTTTTTTTTTTATCACTTTCCTTTCTGTACTGTTTAACTTATGTGTTCTTCTCAGAAATCACTTTGCAAGAAGTTCCATCGCCACTGGGGGACAAAAAGGAAAATCGTATTATACACTGACCTTCAGCATAAACTTCAGCCATAAGGATGATGTCTGCTACTTTGCCTATCATTACCCTTATACATACTCCACACTTAAGGTACCACTGAAGTGCAGGTTTTGGTAATCACACTACTATCTGTTTACTTCTCTATGTTTAAATAAAGAGTTTTCCTGCTCTTTGAGCATTCGCTCCGAAAGCTAGTATCACGTTGCTGTAGGGATGTCACAAACTGATATTCATTTAAGGTTTCTGACATAAACTAGCTGATAGGAACACTGCTTCTGTTTATGTATCCCATTGGTTAATAATACATGGTTATGTTGTTGTCATAACTATTGTTGTTGACTATTGTACAAATCGACAAACAGAAGTATTTTAAAGTCTGTTCTCTGAGATACGGGGAGCCAATGAATTGACTTTTGAACTAGGGGGATGTGCTCTACTTTCTTAGTTTTAGTGAGGATGTGAGCAACAGCATTCTGGATCAGCTGCCTGTCGTCTGATAGACTTTGCAGTAATCAATTCTACTGAAGGCAAACTCATAAAATAGTTTCTCTAGATCTTGCTGAGACACTGGAGATGTTCTTACAGTCAATGCCAATGTCATTTTTCTTCTGAGCTTGTACCATATCCAAGTTTCTAAACCATATTATTTTATAAGTTGCAACTTTGTAGAGTAGACATCTCAATCAGTCAAAAAAGTTGGAGCAACAATGCAAGAACACATTTAAAAGAGCCGTATTAAATCAGAGTTAGAAATAATCTATACATTTGTTAGTAAGAGAGACCTAAGAAGTGTAACTTTTTAACTTCATACAGATGCATCTGTCCAAACTTGAGGCTATGAGGACCCCTCAGATCTACTTGAGACATGACGTTCTGTGTGAGACCCTTGGTGGAAACACCTGTCCACTTCTTACTATCACTGCCATGCCCGAGTCCAAATCCAGTGATCATATCTGTCAGTTCAGTAAGTAAATGAGTGTTTTCGTTGTTGTTTGTTTTTGTCGAGAAAATTCTATAATTTTTGATAAAATTATAGCCTCCTTTCAATTTCAGAAATACTTATTGAACGCAAAGAGACAATATGTTGTTAAAAAAATCTGGAATTGCTTAGTTTGTTTTCTGGCTAATCGAGAAAAAACAAACAAAGGCATCCAGAAATTTGGTGATTTTACAGCAACAGGTTAAGACCCCACTCCTGTAATTTTAGTTTCAGTGCTGTAAATGTAAGATGGCAAGATGTAGAGATTTAGTTCACTCATTTTTTTTTTATAGTCACCAGAGGTTTAAGGTATGCTATCCATTGTCCTGTATTTGATTCTGCTATACTTTATTTTTCTTCCACTTCAGGGAATCGCCCATTGATCTTCTTGTCAGCCAGAGTGCACCCTGGGGAGACAAACGCCAGCTGGGTGATGAAGGGCACACTGGAGTTCCTCATGGGCACCAGCCCGCTGGCAGTGAGCCTGAGAGAGGCCTACATCTTTAAGATTGTCCCGATGCTTAACCCTGATGGAGTCATTAATGGAAAGTGAGTTCTCAGAGATGGAGTAAAAGTAACCCAGTGAGAACTTTGAAGTATTAATTCATCAGCTGCAGCTAAGCTTGCACGGTTGTCACAGCTTTATGTATTTCAAGGCATGTATTAAATCTTGACTGGAAGAATTCTCTAGCTGTTGCTCTGTTCTCCTCCACTCTGTATTCTTCTCTGCCATCTACTTTCTGCTTTAGTCATCGATGTTCTCTGAGTGGAGAGGACTTGAATCGACAGTGGCAGAACCCCAATCCTGAGCTCCACCCCACCATCTACCATACTAAGAGCCTGCTGCAGTATCTTGCATATATACAAAGGGCACCACTGGTAGGACTTCTAATTAACTGCACTTGAATTACTTTGGGGCATTTTGCACTTTGCAGCGTCCTCTTTCCATTAACTGCCTTAAATGGTGCCAGTTCATTTGCACATCCTATTCAACTGCATGGAAAACAGTATTTACTGTACAGTGAATTCAGCATCAGTTCTTCTAATGCTTCGCTCACACCAATGCGTCAAAAATGCTTAAATGCAGAAATTTGGACACTGGGTGAAACTGTGGTCAAGTTGCTTTGACGCTTCAACGCTCTGGAAGCTCGGAGCTCTGGTTGTTTTTCTAGCTTGAGAGTAGCTTGGCTTTATTTAGTTTATAAATTGGAAATTCCAATTTCAGACATCATCTGTGCGGTCAGATCATCAGGATTATGATCCCACTAAAATGCAATTCTTGTTCAGACCGCTAGACCTTCAGCATACCACCGGGAGGCAGTGCTAAAAATCCCTGCTGAAAGAACTCTGCTGCGGGGAGCCTTTAGATGATTTCCCGCTGACGTTCATAGTGGCTTGAAGTGAATATAAAGTTATCTTTCAACATTCGTTTTGGTATCTCACTATGGGAACATGCCTCCAGTGCTATCTCCAGAAACTCCATAACATTATGCCAGTCTTGACTGCCTCACAGAGATGACATTTGCAACTGGAGGAGGGACTTGTCCCTAGTATAAGAACCTGATGTCACGCTGATGATCCTCAGTCTAACACCTCTTCTCGCTCCCAGAAGCTTACTCGGATGGCCAATACAGCAAGTACTGAGCTAGCTTAACTGTTCACAGAGCGAGCTAACAATTCGGTCTATGAACGCTGCTGGAGGTGGACACTGTGATGGAGGTTGCCAACCCTCCACCACCTGTGCTCACTGTGTCCAAACAGGGAGAGCCCCTATTCACCGGACCAAGCTCCCAGTTGAAACCTGGCACTGAAACCTAACCCTGCTTTCATACCACAAGTTGTTAACCCCGCTCTGTCTTGCTGCCCTCTTGAGTTGATGGCTTTCCACCCTCCTTCCTTTTCTTCTCAGGTGTATGAACGACTCCTCATGCTCTGCCCAGTGCGAGCTCTCAGGATGTATGTGGAAAAAACAATCTGTTTCCGCAAATCTGATCAACTGTTTGTATCACGGTCTCCACCACATAAAGGAAAGCCCCTCACTAAAACGTCTCTCACATTGGATAGTGGGAGCTATTACAACAGCCTATGAGGTTAAGGGCTCTCAACCCCTGCAGGCCTGCGAGCTCATTCAACCTGTAGTATGGCATCATCGGGGGTATTGTTCCAGGGTATACTTTTGGATTACATCTGTGGGGCTGCATGCTGGGCAACTCCTCACACTTTCACTAGGTTTTATAGGTTGGATGTTACCACACCCACACCTGCCCACACGGTTCCGGGATGCAGGATCCTCACATTTATTTAAGCTTATCTGTCAAAACGGGAGTTGCAACATCCCATAGTGAGATACCGAAACTAATGTTGAAAGAGAACCTTAGGTTAAGTTCTGCGAGCCACTTTTAGACACAGCAGGCAAACCTATGGCAGGCCAGGAGATGCGAAAGAAGGAGAATACAATAAGAAAAAGAGCAAAGAAAGCGTGGACTGCTGGAAGTACCGCAGTGAACTGGTGAAAGAAAAGTGAAATGGCCTGCTCAAAGATGACCCTGCACATTTTGAGTATGTTTGGCTCAACCTACTGCTGTGAAGCAGGATTCTCCACCATGAACGTAATCAAAAAATAAATATTGATCCAGGCTCACAAAATAGCACCTTGATATGTGCTTGAGAATGGCTTTGTCAACATTCAAACACAGTTTTTCTGATTGATTACACTCCAGCATCCAGCGGCAAAAGTTAAATATTTTGATCTCCAGCGTCGAACGCTCGGATGCTCGGACGGCAGAACGCTGATCCTCGAACGCACCAGACTTCTTGACACCACCCCAATAGACATTGCATTTAAATCAGATGCTTTGACAAAGGAAAAGTGCCCGGTGTGAACGCAGCTTAAGGACTGACCACAAACAGCCTACTCTGCTACGCTCTGTGCTAAACTTTACAGGAACTTTCAAATAGATTTTTTTGGTTTTGTTTTCTGTGGGCCTTTTCAAATGATTAAACTGTCTTTTATTTTCTCTAACTAGAAATTCTTTTTACATTTTCCAACCTCTTTTAATGTATCTTTCACATACATAGTTTTTATTTTCTACCTAGTTTCTCATTAATTTGTGGTAGAATTTCCAGTATGCATAATAAACCTTTGTGCATCCATCCTGTCTGTGGCTGTGTTTGTGCTTAAATACACAGGTGTTCTGTGATTACCACGGCCATTCCAGAAAGAAGAATGTCTTCATGTACGGCTGCAGTGTGAAGGAGACAGTTTGGCAGTCTAATATCAGTGCAACCTCCAGTGACTTACAGGAGGACCTTGGATACAGGGTAAATATTGTTACGTCCACCAGGCTTGTTTGGTGGGGGTAACATTAAAGGAGACCACACAAGGATATTCTTTCAAGTGAAAATTGAATTTATTAAATTATACTAAAGAAACAAAAACCTGAAAAAGGGATAAATAAAATGGGGAATAGAAAATGGCTTAATGCAAAACTAAATAATAACTGAACAGAAATAAGCAAATGCAAACAAACCTAACAAAACCCAAGCACAGAATACAAACCGATCAAACAGATCACCTGCAGAAGGCCTGCATCCAGAAACCTGCAAGGAAAAGTGCAGAAACCCACTGCAGCCATAACAATATGCACACAAATGCACAGAACATGGTTAATGATTGTAACTCTATAAAAGGCTATGAATAAGCAAAGGATTATTTGTTTAACTGTACTCTACTATTTCGTTATATCTTCAACTGTTTAGCTCATATTTAAGTTATGTAATCATGTTGTGTATTACTGTATTCAAATGCTCCATGATACAGAATAATGTATTCACAATCTCTATGTCTTTAAAAGGAACAATATCAGCATTTTGCTTAATCCCAGATAATAACAGACTGCTGTATCTATGAATGAAAAACAAAATCAATTGGAACCTAAACTCATGTAACAGTTTGATTTAGCTTTTTGTTTTTCTAGTTTTTGTTTCGTTTAACTAGAATGTTTTTTTTTTCTAGTTTATTTCGTGGAGTGTTGTAGATGTTTTTACTAAATTTTTACTAGATATGATATATTAACTATATATCATCCATAATGTATTATGATTCATATTATTCTCTTCTGTAGAGAGTTATTGAATGAACTGAAAGTTTATCATTAAACAACTGCTCTGAGGACCAGGAGTTCACACAAACATTCAGGATAAGAATGAAAAAATCAACTGAATTACTAATAGATGCAATAAACATTTTGAACAATAACTGCTGATCAAAACAGAAAATAATAGCTTTCTATATTTTACAGACTCTTCCCAAGATCCTGTCTCAGATCGCCCCTGCCTTCAGCATGGCCAGCTCCAGTTTTGTGGTGGAGCGCTCCAAAGAGTCAACAGCGCGAGTTGTTGTCTGGAGAGAGATTGGCGTAAAACGCAGTTATACCATGGAGAGCACCCTCTGTGGCTGTGATCAGGGCAAATATAAGGTATGTATTGAGGATATTAGTTTTATTTGGAAAGGGACAATATAAAACAAAACAACAACAAAAAATGAATAAACCTTATAACTAAATACTTCCCGTTAGGCAGCTACTACTGTAGATGAATCAAATTCAAAGGTACATGAAAAAATACATATATAATTCATTATTTATCAAGGGTAAGCAAAGCATTAAATATTCCAATTTCTTTGGGCTGATGAGTACAGATGAGCGTCTGCAAATATTAAAATGTCCACCAAGGGGAGCTTTGGTTCCTTTTTCCTTTATTCAATTCCCATCTCTTCTGCTTCCTTTAAGGAATCAAATAATTTTGTTACTTTTCTCTTTTTTTAAACTGTGCTTTTTTTCCCATTCCAGCTTATTTCCATCAGAATTTTGCCAATGTCAACATTTAATATATTTATCTTTCCAAGGGCTCTTCCTAGATTCTGTTGAGGTATTTGGCAGGATCTGCTGGAACAATTGTTGATTGAGTTGTGGCCTTATACTTTAGTGGCGAGGCCAAGTTTAGATGCTTTTACTTTTCCTCTGGAGAAAGTTTTTTGCAGTTTTTTGGGGGGTAAGACAGAGGTTAGCTTTGTGTGTTGCTGCTCCCCCTTATTTGGCAGATTTTCTTTCTGTGCCTTCCATAGTTGTAACATGAAAGTTTCTCGCCCGAAATGTGTTGTATCATTTAAAAATTAAGCTTTTAGGATAATTTTACTGTAATTTTTTGCTGATGGAAAACTCTAGTTATGCATTCCTCTAGCTGCTAAAAATAAAAGAACAGATATATTTTCCTGATGGGTTTCATGTTCCTTTTAGGGACTTCAGATCGGCACCAGAGAGCTTGAAGAGATGGGTGCTCAGTTCTGTGTGGCCCTGCTAAGGCTAAAGAGGTTAACCGGGAACCGCAATCACCAGCATCTGCTGGATCTGGAAACCGATATCATTGGAACACATTCAAAGCCAGTCAGGTCTGTAATAAAAATAACTTATTTCACAGTAACAGCCTTGTGTGCACCAATCAGAAAATATTTCCACATTGTGGCACCTGGTAGTTGGTGCGATGAATCAGGCCGGAAGTTAACATTTTGTTCTGAGAGCTGATGTGTTTGAAATTAGCAAAGTTGTCAGCTGTAAAGATTTGAGCAAAATTGAAAAGGGACAAGCTGTAATGTTTGGAGTTTAGATAATTGGGTCAGATGACTACACAGCTTAATAACCTGAATATGCCACATCTTCTGGGCTCTAATAATCTGTAGCTTTCAAAAGTGGTCAAGGGTTATGGATTAAGATCAGGAACAAAGGCTGGCTTATGTAGTCTGACCCAAAAGATGACCTTCTGTAGCTCATAATGCCAATTAGTCATTGGCAGCTCTGACAGAGGGGTGTCAGAATACAGTATTGCATCATGGTTTCTTGCTTAGCTAGCTGCATATATGCAGGCTGGCCAGAGTATCTGTGCTAGTAATAATGTTATCCCTAATATCCTAACACCCAGATAATGCAGATACAGAAATGGATGCTGGGATCAAGTTTAAGTTCCATTAAAGAATATTTATCTGTAGAGTAATCTACTTTAATTTACTGTGATGGGATAAGTGAGTCAAGAATCTACTAGTTGCAATATATTTATGTTGATATGATTATTAATATGTTTTTAACAAACATATTCATTATTATTTAACAACAGGACAGAATACAAAGTGGATGTTTTCAAACTAGATATTTATTCACATTAACTGGCTTCAATTGGCTTTAAACTTTTGTAATACTAAAAACAAATGCTTTTTAAACGGTAAAGGGAAAAAGTAAAATAAGCTTAGTAAAAGTAAATGGGGGGTGATGCAATTCCGGACAATATTGTACTTTCAGTTTTTCTTTGTTTATAAAAGTATAGAATACTGTAAAATGCAAGTGATTTCAGTAAAACATTTAAGAGGTAAAGTGCAAAGCACCTGCTGTGGTTCAAAATTGTAAAAGGGTGAGACAATAAAAGGTCCTTCATTAGATTAGCACCTTTTGTTTCTGACTTCAGCAAGTGTAAATTAGTATCTACGGCTACGTTCACACAGCAGGCCTTAGTGAAATACGATTCTTTTGCATGGTTTTTCATATATCCAAATATATGTGACTTATATGTGATCTCCTGTGTGAAATGCATTCACAAAACGTATGTGTCCTGCATGTGCAGTAGAGGACCCAATGAGGTTACAAGACGTCACATCAACAACACAATCTTTTCAAGAAGCTTTAATATAAACACTACTCTCCGCATTATCGTCCGCCATGGATGTTGTTTTTCTTCCCGCCTCTGCATAGCAACTTTTTTGAATATTAATGACATACAGGTTGGACGAATGCGACCTGGCTGTTCAGACACAGGTGGCATTTGAAAAGATCAGATATGTATCGGGTTCAGGACCACATAGCCGAGTGGCCTGGGTCACACTGGAAAAAATCCCATTTGTGATCTTCAGACTGTCATGAAACGAATCAGATACAGGTCGCATATCGGCAAGAAACTCTGGTTTTGGTCACGTCAGGCAGCAGTGGGAACGTAGCCTATGCTTCCACTTTAGGAATACTATTATTAAATATGCGGGTCTCTCCACCATCACTAGTCTCTTTAGTTGTTGGTCTCAGTCTGTGTGTGCATACACCCACCCACTTTATTCCTCTCAGCACCCCTTTTCTGCTGCACTAGAACCAAAAAGCAGCTCTCCTGTAGCAGGTCGTGCGCTTTTATGATTGTTATAGATTCCAAATCCCATAACCATGCTGCTCAAATGAGAAAAAGTAACTAGATTACTCTTCTACTGAAATGGTATCCTGATTATCTAACGCTCGTACTCTCAACACTGCAAATCAGAATTACACTGTCATTAAATTTGTTAAGATTTTATTTGCATTAGTAAATACATGGTAAATTGGAAAGAATTTTTGTTATCTCCATTGTTAAGCTGAAATGCGCAGTGTACATGTCTGTATTCAGAAGAGATTTCAGTCTCTTAAGTTGCAAAGCCCCTTTAGTAAGCGTTGATTTTAGTAAGCGCCATTTTTTTGGCACCGATACTGAAACCTGGCTGTGCGTTACTGGTCGATACCATACCAATACCACTGTTTGAAATTGATGTGTGTGTGTGTATATGGAGAACTGCATACTACTTGTATGTAAAATAATTGCCTTTATGGCTTTGTGAAGCTGCTGCCTACCTTTGTGAAGCAGGATAAAGACTAATACAAAGTGAATCTAGTAGAACCTTTTATTGCCTACCTGGAATGGCTGACAATAGTTGAATAAACTTTTGGGTCTCAAAATGGTATTGGTGCCCTATTTTTCGACACTCGCCAATACCGATACCACAATTTTGGATGGATCGAGGCCTCGCCTGATACTGGTATCCGTATTGTTGCAACACTAGCACTTACAGTAATGCGGCTTTGCCCATTTCCTGCATGATCTTGGGCAGTGCATCTATTGCCTTCTTTATGTCTTGAAGGAGGGCCACCATCTGTCCTATTATTCTAACATCTGTTGAACTAACATTGGCAAGCAGTGGTACTGTTAAAAAATATTTGCCATCTCACATTTATGATTGCTATTATTTAAAAACTATTATACACAATAACCCGATTAAACACAGAATGCAACTGTAAAGTGATTAGTTTATCTTGTAATGTTGATGACGGCTATCCAAAATAAGTTGCCCCCATGGGGAAAAGTTATTATATCTCCCTCCCCTGTTAAATCAGCAATTAGCTTTGAGTAATCACGCCTTTTGGGAAGCATAGTTTATTTTGGCTGACCAACTCATCCTTAACTACTGTCTATTCCCATTAAAGCATCAAGAAATAGCTTTAATGGAAACGTTCTGACAATATAATTTAGGCCAAGAGATCTCAAAGAAAAGAGGAACTAAGTCAGCACAATCTATTAGTCTGGAAATCATTTCAACATTTCTAAGGCTTTGGTATTTCCCTGAGCCTTAGAGCTTTTATCCGCTAATAGAGAAAGCATGGAACAGTGATGAAACTTCCCAGGATTAGCTTTCCAATCCAAATGTACCCCTGAATTACCCAGAAGGTCACAGCATCGAAAGCATGGAAAGCCACAAAATGCTTTATCTTACCACTCTGCTAATTTCCAACCATGAGTGAACTGGTTCTGAGGAGGTAGCCAGATTCTTATTTGACATCTCCACTGGGGGGCACTATAGAGAAGGTAATGAAGCATGACTTTAAACATGGCAGCATAGGGGCTTTCTGTTTATAAAAAATGGAATATGGAGGACTACAATCAGAAAACACAAAGGATTTTGACTAAGTAAATACAGACCAGTGGCTTACAACATACCAGTGGCTATGTTAGATGTAATGTAATTTGAAAAATGTTAATAAAACTTTGGATTGTTTTTTCTTTTCAGAGATTTAATTTTTATTTTAAATGATAATCTTTCTTAATTTATAGATGCCAATGAAAATAAGCTACATGTGCTCTGTATCAACAGTGTAGGTATTTGCAGCACAGTTCTAAGTTTGTCCTCCATGTGTTTTGAAATAGAACTAAAGAGCTCGATCAAATGTTGGTAATCAAATTTACTGGATATCATAGCCTTTAATTAGACTGTTTAAAATCACAGCACAGCTTTTTCCTGCAGGTGTATCTTTGTTTTAACTCGACTCTTTATTTCCTTTAAATTCATTAAAATGATTAACATAGATCTACGGGGTTTCTCTAACCTAAAACTGGAATCCAGACTAAAAGCAGAGGCATGTTGCTTCAGCTTCTGGATATTCACTCTGCTGCTTTAGGTATACTTTACAGTTTAGTTTTTCTCCCTCTTGTGTTTTTCATGATTGAGAAGAAAAGGTCTGAAGAAGACCTTTGAGGACAATTTTGATAGCCCTCAGACAAAAGCAGAATTTTTGAACAGAGTGGTTCCAGTTACAGCTGGCAGAAAATGAACACATGCTGTGTTAATGTGATGGTCTGGGACTGCGTTACTGCTTTAGGACCTGGACAACTTGCTGTAATTGATAGAGCCATGAATTTGGTTCTCTAGTAGAAAACCCTGATGGAGGATGTCTGGCAAACAGTTTGCAACCAGACATCCTTCTGCTGCATAACCCAAGTGCTGAGGCATACTGAGGTTATACAGTAGGATGTCAGCCTAAGCCAAGACACCTAAACAGGCAGTTTGTGCCTGAAAACCCTCTGTGGCTAAATTAAAACACTTATGTAAAATGGAGTGGGCTTTATTTCTCCAAAGTGAAAAATCTAATTGTCAGTTTGAGGATGGCAGGAGCAGTAGGGCCTTGTTGATTTTGATAGCTTTTTTTCCCCCTTAATAGTTAAAATCATAATTTGATTACTGCTCTTTATATTTACTTAGCTTATGCTGAGTAGTATAAACATTTGTTTTAGTGTAAAAAAAAAAATCATTCTTAATTTAGCATTTTTTCAGGGTTTTTTTTTTTTTTTTGCTTAAGCCAATAATGAATAATGAATATCAGGTAGGTAATAACTCTAAAAATCACTATGTTAATTCTTAGAATACCACCACCCTCATTCAAAACCTTCTAAAATACCAAATCAGAAACTTTGATCTAATTTAATGCTGCGGCTAACAATTTTTTTGCAAATCGAGAAATGTATTGATAATTTTTTTGTTAATTCATTATTAATCGGATAGCCAAAGGTTCCTTAAAGAAGACTTTTTACGAAGTAAAACCAGTGAAACGAAAGCTTTTCCACTTGAGGAGTTCTGGATAGAGCATATTGACAGACAAAAAAGCTTCTTTTTTATATCTTAAATGCTAACTGTTAATATATATATTTTTTTGTTTTTACAATTTTGGTATAATTACCGCTCAAGGGTTGGCTGAGCTTTAGCCTAAAGGGATATTTTACAGTCTCTAAACTCCAGTTAACGATTAATCGATTTTTAAATTAGTCGATTAATATTTCATAATCGATTAATCATAATTCATCCGATTCATTGTTTCAGCCCCAAACAAATTTTCCATCTATAACTGCAAAGGTACCAGAAATGTTTGTGCTAATCTTTGTGAACTGGAGTCAGGCACATTTGAGATATGTGACTGTCAACGTAAAACAACTTTCTTAAGGATAGCGAAAGTGATTAGTGATAACTGTTATTAGAAGTTCGGCTCTATTGACGCAATGTTCTGCCACAGCTGTGGCTGTTTCTAATGCCTCAGTAAATCAGGTGTGAACTGATGTACGTACATCAGATGTACATCAGACTCATCACATGGGATAAGTTCCTAAAAGACGATTGTTGAAGCCAAATTTAAACCGTAAACAGTGGTTAGTTTAAAGCCTGAGATACTGAATCTTCTTGGGATGATTCAAAGCCTATTACTTGGCATCTAATCAAAGAATCACATTAACGACATTAAGTCTGGACATTTGCTGCTTTCTGTGATTAAGTGTGGCTGCTTTTTAAACATGGTCCATTTGTCAGTACAATCTACATTTCCCCTCTGATGCTCTACTCAAGACCCAAATAAAGACATGCATTTATGCAGGTCTGGCGCGACTATCATTGAAATTCTATCAATTTTATCCCCCTGCGGAGGTTTTCACGGCCACATTGAGCAGTCCGTAGCACAGGGCTGCACAGTGTGGATTAAATGCACATTGGACATGTAAACTAGCCTTGCTCCTCTGCACGACCAGCATAAATTAGCATTTTATTATAAACTCAAGTAGGAGTCTATTTAAAGGAAAATGTGCTGTGTTCATAAAACAGCTATAAGACAAAGACTGGCCTGTGTAACCCAAGTTTACCTTACACCTTTATGCAGTTTACTTTTGAGCAAAGTTAGCTCTCTTAAGAGTAAAAGTAATCTGAATTATTCTCAAATGTTTGTAGTAGTTCATCAGTAGGACTCGGTTCAGTTCAGGTTCGGGCCTCAGATAACAAAGAGTGCATGAGCAGACCACCTCCTCTTCTTACAGTAAGACATTCATAAAAATACCAACTTCTCTACCATGCCGCACGATTTCCAATGATGATCCTGCTTAGCAGTGTGAGAAACCTAAAAGTCTGTCATTGTTTCTTGCTTCTGTAAGCCCTGATTAGACTATCGTTTATCGTATCCACTTCCCAAAAGCCGACTCTGTCAAGTAACCTTACCAAAGACTGCTTTCTTCGCCTGACTCTCCGCAAACAGCGGGATATCACAATTATAACCAAACTTCCTGAATGTTATGGTTACGCCATGCAGATTTGCTTGTTTTCCCTCTAGAGAGCAGTAGATCATCACTAGAAGACAAGGAATCATGCGATGTGTAAACTGTCGCAAAGAACCGAGATCGGCACGTTTAACTGATCAAAGCTCGGTCCGAACTCTGCACGGATCGGTTTTCAGAAATTAGTTTACACAGGGCTTTTGAGTACCCAAATATGAATCAATTAATCGAAAAAATAATTGACAGATTAATTGATTTACAAAATAAAGTTGTTTGCAGCCCTAATTATATTAATTCTACCCAGCATTAGAGTCAATGACTTAAAGTTCAACTAGCCATTAAAGAAGTCTGGGCTTGTTCTGTAGAGTCCTGTGAAAGCTCTGATAAAGAGTATAGTAATTATTCTTCATGAAATGAAAGATTGTGAAGAGCCTTGAACATCCTCTACTTTAGGTGGTCAAATATCAGCACCGATCTGCTGTAAGACAGATCTCTACAGGAGATCATCTCTGTCCAAAGTGATGTGCATCTATGTTTAATTTTCCTTTGTTATAAAGAAAGTATTTCTCAATTTTAATGAAATTGTTTTCATACAGTAAAAAATAGCAGTGAATGATAGGACAGCCTGACATTTGATTGCTATGCCTAATCTAAAAAGTCTTATTTAAATGCAATTATTTTCCTAATTTTTTTTTTTAACCATCTTTTATTGTTCCATATTCTTCCAAATATCTATTAGAGAGTGAATCAACACTTGAATAGAGGAAAACAAAACAATAACTAAAACATTGGACGTGACACACCATTCAGTTACCAGTCACATAATAATCTGTGTCCACATTGTTCTTTATTCAACGTGGCCATTCATTTATTACCATTTTTTTTAACACAGGCTAAAACAGTTAAGGTTATCTTTACTTCTCTTTACATGTAGACTTCAGCATTTTTTCTTTTTAGATCTGCAACACATATTTAGAAAAATACATTTATACCCCAAACCTCAATTTCAATTTCTCCTTTGCTTGTCGTTCCTTTGCTTTGTTCTTAGTAACGTACTCTACTCATATTAATATATTCATTTATCATTTATGTGGCTGATCATTAAGGGACTCCGACGGTGTTTGCATGTGTACCCTTTGGGATTGGTTGCTCTCATCCTTGATTTATGGTTATACATGTAGGTCTCTCTATAGTAGCACTTAACAATGTTTTTATCTGTTTAGAGCTCTAGCTGGTGTCCCTAAATGAGGGGGATTTATTTCTCATTTTTATGATGTTTAAATAACTAATGGTTTTTTACAAGGGGATAAAGTTTAAGTTGTACTTGTATGGTTTATAGAGTATCTTTATATGATAAATGCTGAATAGTCATTGGAGATGTTTTTTTTTCCTATTATAATGGCCTGTAATGGTTGATGCACAACTTCTGCAATCCGATTCGATAAAATTCTGTCTGTCATTACACACTTACGGTACATTTACTGACGCACAGTTTCTCTGTATCTTTGTCTGTCTCTTGCACTCACTGAGGGGAGCTCATTGTCTATATCCCCCCCCCAACTCCACATGATCGACTGTCTCCCTAGGATCACATTTCAGACCATTAACACCATTAAAAACCCACTAAAGCCACTAAAACCTCAAAGAACCAGCAACCATTTAACCATTAGGACCCATAGGAAAAAAACAGCCTCACTGACGGGAGCTTACAAGCACTGTTTGGTAGCAACATGAGTTTTGTTATAATTTAATAAGTAAGTAGATTTGTTCTTTTGGTTTCTAATGTTAACCCTAGAAGAATTTAGGTTTAAAAACATGCAGGTGTTCTGAAGCAACTGCTCGATTAACATAAAAATCCATTTTAATTATCTGTAAGTCACTTATATGTTTTTCAGTTGGCCGCCTCAAGGTGAGAGGGATGAAAAATGAACACTGAAAAACATGCATTCCCATGATCTCAGGAAGTATTTGATTTTTTCGATAATAGTTTTAAGAACCAAAAGCTTTCCTTTTGAAGTATGGTAAATGTTCCAAATTATGTCACTTTCCTGTAAGCTTTTAGTTCATCCTAATAATGCAATGGTGGGTTCAGTATTTAATAAAATTCTGGTTCCTTGGGTACCATGAAACAACCAATGCATGAAGGAACTTGACCTTTTATACACAGTTTTTTGTTCTTTTTCACATTGATGAGAAAAAGGCACAAAAAAAACCACACACAAACCATTATGTGTTTATATATATATGTATATATATATATATATATATATATATATATATATATATAAATGAAATATTGATCCTTTTTATAATGAAGTGGTCACAATTAATCAAATTAACCAATTTAGCCTTGGTTGGGACGTTTTAACATGGGTCCGTTAGCTGTGTCAGTGTATACCTGGCCTAATAAAGGTATTGTTATTCAGTGAGGAAAATACTGTGCTAAAAAACACTGTGCTATTTTGCAAGTTCTCCTACTTAGAAATCATGTTGAGGTCTGAAATTGTCATCGTAGGTGTGCCCACTGTGAGAGACATAATCTAAATTTTTTTTTTAACAGAAATCACAATATATGATTTTTTTTTTAACTATTTATTTGTTTGATACAGCTGCAAATAAGTATTTGAACACCTATCTATCAGCTAGAATTCTGACCCTAAAAAACCTGTTAGTCTGCCTTCAAAAGGTCCACCTCCACTCCATTTATTATCCTAAATTAGATGTGCCTGTTTGAGGTCATTAACTGCTTAAAGACACTTGTCCACCCAATACAACCAGTAAGAATCCAACTACTAACATGGCCAAGAACAAAGAAAGGAGCTGTCAAAAGACAATAGAGACAAAATTGTAAACCTCCACAAAGCTGGAAATGGCTATGGGGAAATTGGCAAGCAGATTGGTGAAAAAAGTTCCACTGTTGAAGCAATCATCAAAAAATGGAAGAAGCTAAACATGACTGTTAATCTCCCTTGGACTGGGGCTCCATGCAAGATCTCAGCTTGTTCGGTCTCAATGATCCTAAGAAAGAGGAGATTCAGCCCAGAAATATACATTTTTTGCCTAAGTTAACTGCAGTAATCAATCAGTTATCAATTTTTTTATACAGTTGCATAAAAAAATTGTTGGTTTTCTGTAAATAAATCAAGTTTTAAGATTATGATTGAAATTTTCATTTGGAAATTTTTGTGACTGCATAATTGCCAGAAAATGGCTTTTGTGTGTGTTTGATTTCTCACTAAGTTATCTTACTGTGAGAATCTCATATTGGCCCATGAACAAAACATTTTTCAATTCCTTGTTAGACAAATGATTCTGCTGTCAGTAACAGTAATTGCTACACTTTCATTTAAATTAATTTGTAGATTTCTAACCGAATATTATAGTGTTTTTCTTCTCTAAATAACAAAAATTGCATTATGTGACACTGATTTTTATTTATTTTTTGTCGCTCTTGTATTTACAGCAGCTGCACAACTACCTATGTGTTGGAGGAGGATGAGCCATCCTTTCTGGAGGAGATTGACTACAGCGCGGAAAGCAATGATGACGATGCAGAGCCTGAAAGCGATTTCTGCGCCGACGTCCAAGAGAATTTTGATCAGCTGTCAGACTCTGAAAATAATCACAGGGACTAGTGCTAATCTCCTTCATATGGGGTGGTCTGAGCTTATAATTAGGGCTTGGATTATGGTTAAAAGTTTAAAAAAAAATGTCATTCTATAAACAGAAAATTGCCTCAGCTCCTTCTTTGTCTCTTGGATAAAAAGTTTAATCCCACCTGAACTGTGGGCTGGATTAGCGTTAGGCCACTGTTAGCAGCTTGTTGCTCCTGAAGGTGCGTACACCATCTGCCTTTCTCTTCAGATAGACCAGTAATGAGTAGTTACAACAATAAGGGTGGATTTCACTGAATGTTTTCACCTTCTCTGCACCAAACTAAAATCCTTCTTAACTTCAACACTATACAGTCCCTGAGATTCACATGTAAATAAGCAGAGCGACCCATCTCACCTGCAGTATTTTGACGAAACACTTAGGGCCGGATTTATCAAAGGTTTGCGTGTATTAAAACGTGAGCTATTTAACTGCGCACACTAAAAAATGTACAAACTGATCTATCAACAGCGTGCTAAAAGGATTTGGTCTTTAAAACGTGCTAAATAGCGCCTCTTATCCATTTAGTACTTTTTC